GATTATAGGTATGACACTCTAGCATACATCTTCAATAATAAATACATTTGTAACAAAATGAGCAGTAGTATATCTCCAACAAATGAGACATTCTGTTATGTAGTGAAATCCATAGTAATTCCCTAATAGTATATTACTCCTCCATATTCAGAATTCCTCAACTGTTCCTTGGATGTCTTCTATAGCTTTGTTTTTAAAAAACATCAAGATCCAATAAAGAATTGCCTATTACATTCAGTGGTTACGACTCTTTAGTCTCCCCTAATCTACCTAATCTAGAATAATATCTTTTTTTTAAATCCCCATGAGCTTGCCTTTAAAGAGGTCAAGCCATTTGTCTTGAATGGTTCACATTCTGCATTTACCTGGTGCCATTTAACTTGTTCCTATATCCCATATATTTTTTTGTAGGCTAAATCTTTTTGGCAGTAATAAATACTTTGTAAGTGAAGCTTGGGAAGACATCTGAATTAATGATATTGTCAACATTTTAGTTCCCTATCCCCTTGTCTCTCTCTTCTTCTTAATCATCTCTTCTTTTTATTTATTTTCTGCCTCCTCACATTCTCTTCCTTTTTACCTTCTGCTCTGCCTTCCATACTTCTTTGGATATACTCCATTATTCCTCCTCTGTCTCTCTTTCCTGAAATTGAAGGCAGAGAGAGAGAGAGAGCTGGGGCACAGAGAATACGAGAACCATCCAGGTGAGAAATGGGAATATGGAGTTCAGTGGCCATGTCGTTCTTTATCCCATATATATACTGTTGTGTCCATCTTTGTATTTTTAATTTGATTTCAAATGTTCTATTATTCGAATGTACTTTTTCATGAGAGTGAATATATGATTCACTTGGGTATGTCACTTAATAAATGTTTTTCCTATTTACTCTAAGAAATTTTAACAGAAGTTTTTAATTCCTTCGAATGGCAGGTGGAAAGGGAGGGAAGGAAGGGGAGATAAGGTAGGTCCAGACCTTCTCTTTCCTCCTTTGAGGGTGTCTGAGTGGCCCATATGTCACTGGAATTGCAGGGTGGCACTGCTCCAGTGTTTCATGAGGCTTTCATCCTTTCTTCTCAGAGATCATGTGAAAATAATGGAGGAAAGAAAATCGCTTCATAGATTTTTGGCTAAGTCACAGAATGGACTGCCACCTAGGAGAATGAAAGACAGTTATATCGAAGTTCTCTTGCCTTTGGGCAGTCAGCCTGAATTACGAGAGAAATATTTGACTGTTCAAAACACCGTAAGGTAACGCAGCACTATTTTTATTTGTATTGTTTGTTTTTATTTTCTTTCTTTCCTTTATTGCAGCTTTGAGATAAAATTCACACATCATACCATTCGCCTATTTAAAGTGTGCAATTCTGTGGTTTTCAGTATATTCAGAGTTGTGCAACCATCATCACAATTAATTTTAGAATATTTTCATCACCCCAAAGTGTATTTTTTTTTTAAAGGTAATCATGATTTTTATGTAATCCCACTTTTCTTTATTTCACAGATTTGGCAGGATTCTTGAGGATCTTGACAGCTTGGGAGGTACTGGTATTATTTTAGTATTTCTAAGTAGAACTCACAGCTATCCATTGAATCTTATGGCTAGAAAGGCCTTCTTTATTCTTTAACTTGCACACATGAGGATATTCTAAAAAAGCAGAAAAAGAAGGGCATCTGCTACCTCATGTCATAATTTTTTCCCCCAAAATGTAGCTTCCTATTCAACAGTTATAATATGATTAATCCTTCTTTCTAATAACTTCAGAAGCCTTAAACTTATAGAAAAGTTGCAAATAAGCGCAAAGAAGTGTTCTTCCCTGAATGATGTGAGAATATGTTGCTGACATGCACATCACCCCCAAATATTTTTATGTCTATTGCCTACAAACAAGGACATTCTCCTACATAACCACAATATAACCATCAAATGAGGAAATAACACTGAGACATTAGACTGTTCAGTCCTCAGACCCCATTCAACTTTTGCTAATGGGCCTTTATAGCAGAAAGATCCAGTTCTGAACCACACGTTGTATTTAGTTGTGTCAGGAATAGTGCCTCCGTCTTCCTGACTTTCATGACCTTGACACTTTTGAAGGTCAAAGGCCAGTTCTTTTGGGAAATTTCTCTCAGTTTGGGTTTGTTCGCTGCTTCCCCAATTTTAGATTCAGGATGTGCATCTTTGGCAGGATTGTCACAGAAGGGATACTGTATTCTTATCACATCTTATCAAGTGGTGCATAATTCTAATTTGTCCTATTACTTTGATGTTAACTTTGATTTCTTGATGAAGGTGGTGTCTCCCAGGCTTCTTCACTGTAAAGTTACTCATTTTCCCTTTGTAACTAAGTACCTTGTAGGGAGATGCTTTGAGACCTTATAAGTATCCATTCCTCACCAGACTGTCAGTTTATTACTTTAAAATCTATAGGACACAGGGATTCCTATTTTATTGAATGAGTTATAATCTGTTACTGTCATCTGTTTTGATTCTCGAATTGTCCCAGGACTGTCCCAGTCTGTTGAAGCAGACTTCTGTGTTTTTTTGATGTGTCCCCATTATTCTTTGAGCACTTCCTCACTTTCTGACACAGCAAGATGTTCTAGGCGCATTTGTACTTTCCCTGCCCCAGACCTAGAATCAGCCAAACCTCTAAGGAGCCCTGCTTCTTTTTAATGGACAATGATATTTAGAAACCAAGATCTGGGTGCTGGGAGCGGTCGTTGCTGCTGGGGTGTGACTGCTCCCACACCCTTTCAGTGGACAAGCTGGGGAATATCTGCACATCCACATACATTTACCTCTGTGTTTATCTATCTGTTTGTTTGTGAAAACCATGGGCTCGCACTGATAGTTCCAGTTCAACACCACAGGTTTATTCTTATTTCCTCCCTTTTTATATTTGTAATTCCATTGTCCGACTGGCTCCATTATCCTTAGTACATTTACTTACCACCCCTAATACATGCTACCCCTAGCCGCTCACGGATGCTCCCCTCACCTCTCTGGGGTTCTACCCCATGCCATGCCAGGTCCCCTTCTGCAGGTCACCCTCCTCATTGTGCCCAAGCTGCACCATGCTGCGCTGTCGCTCTTGTTGCCTCTCTGCAAGTCTTCCTGACCCCACTAGGGCTTCAGCACCTCACCCTGGGCCACCCTGCTTGCTCCTAAAATACAGACATAAGGCTATTGTTAGAGTTATACTTAGCTGCTTTTTTCTTCAGATTAAATAAATCTGCTTAAAAATTCTTACTTGCCTTTACAGAAAATTACACGCATACGTGCGCGTGCACACACACACACACACACACACACACACACACACACACACACACACACTCTCTGTCTCTCTCTCTCTCTCTCTCTCTCAAATATTTGACTTTGATTTACTTAGGTGTCCCTAAATACACAAACTCCTCTGCCATTACCCTGTTTTTCCCCCATTTCTTGCTGTTAATGGCCAATCCCTTTCACCTGTTCACTTGATTATATTTCATTTCAAGAAACTTGCCTTATCATACATTCTTTCTCCCTAATATCTTAGGCCTTTTCTCACCTTTTCTTTTCCCTAAATTTAAAAACATATTTACGTTTCTTCCATCTTAAAATGAAAAATAGGTAAAGGACCCTTCTTTTATAACACTTTCAAATGGTCTTTCTTCCTCACTTCAGAGCTACCTTTCTGGAAAGAACTGGAAGAAATCACTTGCTCTCACTGCCTCTGTACTCTGACCTCCTGTTATTTCCCAACCTTGCCATGTTATATCTTTTGCCCCTCATGCCGTTGAACTGCTATGCCAAGCTCTCCACTGGCTCACATATCGCGTGACCTGCTGACTGCTTTTCAGGACTTAACTTGGCCCCTTTGCGACTCCTGATACTGTCAGACTCATCCTTGGGCTTTGGTGCCATTTCCTTCTGCCTCTCTAGTTGCCCCTTCCTAGTATCTTGAATAGGCTCCTCTTTCTCTATGGATCATCCCTTAAATGCCAGTTATCCCTAGGGTTTTATGTTCTGCCCTTTTTTTGTTATCTGTACATTCTCTAGAAATAATCTAATTTACTCCTTGTGCTTCAGTTGCTATCAGTATGTAGAATGCTTAGGAAGGTCCATTTCCTGGCCTGCTTTTCTGAGTTGCAGACCAGTTTGTCCTCCTGCTTGCTGGACGTCTTCATTTAGATGAGCCATAGGTTTCTTGAATTCAACATGTTGAAAACAGCCCATTCTGCTCTTCCTGCATTCCCTTTTTCGGCAAACATGTACCACCTTCACTCATGCAAGCTCGAAACCTGGGCGTAGTGAAGTCTTGTCAAGTCTCCCTTCTTATTAGCTCTTGGATCTTTTCTCTTCATTTCCACTAATATTGCCATAGGCCAGATGCATATGGTGTCTGGGTGCCACTAAGGCTTTTAAATGGAGCTTTTTGCTTTTAGCCTCTCATTCGCCCAGTATATCCTTTAGCAGGTGCATGCAGAGAAGGATTTATTCTCACTCAAGAAATCTTGTTTGAGCACAGACCCAGTTCTGAGGTTGATTGTACAAATTTGAATGAATCATGGGGTATGCAGGGAGGCCGCTAAACACAGAAGTATAATACAACTTTGAAGGAGTTGGTATTTGTAATGTGCATTAGAATCGTGCTTGGCACATAGAAATGCTTGTTAAAATACGGAAAATAGTTTTTAAAAACCCCTAAATGTGGGAAGTATACAGATGACCCGCAGGGTGGTGTAGGAGCTGAGGGTGTTATGACGAAGACGGGATAACCGAGCAAAATAATTGCTTCACGATTAGGAAAGAGTCAGGAGGAAAACAGGTAGCCAAGTCCTTGTCATTTGTTTCTCTTTTCTGAAGATGTTTGGGTGCTGTCAGACTCAGTGCTGGAATCTTTTGCTGATTTAGGCACTGTGTCTCTGCGGAGTAGTGACAAGCCAGCCGCATGGTGGGTTTCGGCTTTGGGCTTCAGTTTCCTCACCAGTTCTAAAATTGAGCAGGCTGTCAGATTACAGGATTCCCAAACCTCTTCAATTTGTAAGTCTCGGGTCCTAGGATAAGACCAGTTGGAACATGGGAGATTGGGTCTTCAAAACAAGATAAGACTTTTTGTGAATTTCAGGGAGTAGATTATGAATGTTGAGAATAATTTTGCTTTTCCTTTATTTGGTTCTCTTCTGTTTTCCTACAGTTCTTATTTGCTACATGCACACCAAAATTCATTCAGCTAAGATGTCTCCTTTATCTATAGTTACAGCCCTGGTGGACAGGATTGGTAAGTGGTATTATTTTCTATGCATACTTAGAATTCTTAGTAATTACAAGATATTATTGAGGTAAGAGGAAATATTTTCCTTTTCTGGGGAAAATTTTATGTATATATGCATATGAAAATGTCTAGAGTGCTATATATATACCAAGATATTTATTATAATTATCTTTAGGTGGAAGTGTTTTGCATGGTTCCAGTTTTATTTTTTATATTCTTCGCATTGTCTACCTTTTTCAAAAAGATATAACAAAATTTTTTTGTATGTCAAAAAAGTCCTTTTTAGTTTCGAAGGAAAGACGTAGTAGAATTTGCCAAAATTTCAGATGAAATTGTTCATTTACAGTACAGAAAATTTGGGGTGTGGTTCCGACTCAGATTGATTTTCTGTTTTGCAGACATGCGTAAGAAGAGCCTAAGCCCAGAACAGGACATCAAGTTCAGTGGCCATGTTAGTTGGGCGGGGAAGACATCCATGGAAGTGAAGATGAACATGTTCCAGGTGTGTTTGTTTTCAAAGATTGACCCCTTGTTCCAGTATAACCTGCTACTCTCCGTGAAAGCAACTCTTATTTACCTGTCTGTCCACAGACAGGTATATAGCTCACTTCTTCTAGAAAAACTTACAGATGGTGTGGTATTAAAATCTTCCTCCCGGACAAAGACTGGCACATTATTTGGCGTTTATGTTTACTGTTTATTACTTTCAAATCACATACGGCTCCATATTAAGGTGTTTGTTGCTAATTTTGCCCCAGAGAATTTCACAGAAGTCTGAGTTATGTTAGGTATGAATGGGATTAGTCACTTAGTTTCCTGGGGCTGCTGTAACAGAGTACCACAAACCAGGTGGCTTAATACAACAGAAATGAATTGCCTCAGTTTGAAGACTAGAAGTCCAAAATTAAGGTCTCAGCAGGACCATGCTCCCTCTAAAATCTGTAGGAGAGAATCCTTCCTCGCTCCTTCCTAGCTTCTGGTGGTTTGCTGCCAATCTTTGGCGTTCCTTGGCTTGCAGCTCTAACACTTCAGTTTCTGCCTCCATCGTCACATGGCATTTTCCCCTTGTGTGTCTGTGTCTTCACATCTCTTTTTATGAAGACATCGATAATACTGGATTAGGGGCCCACCTTCCTCCAGTATGGCTTCATCTTAACTGATTATATCTGCGACAAGCTTATTTCGAAATCAAGTCAGCTTCACAGGTACTGAGAGTTAGGACTTCAGCACATCTTTTTGGGGACACAGTGTAACCCAGAAGAGTCATTTAGACTATTACAGAAGTTAGGAGTAGCTCCTTTAATGAACAAAATACAGAATAGCTGTTATAAAGAAATGAAGAAATTTGACAAGAAAAAGTACCTCAAGGAGGATAATAGCACAGAAATCAAATAATTCAGAGTATGTCCAAGATTTCATTATGAAAACTTATTTAAGAATGACCTATTCAGTTGTGCCAGAATATTCAGTACATCTGTTATTAGATACATTTTTTTCTGTTACGGAATTATGAAGCATTTCACCTTTTGGAAAAAGTCTGAAGCTTGCTCTGCGGTAATTAAAGTTATTTGTCAAAATCGGTAGTTTTTTTATTTGATGATATATGTAAGCAGTTGGATTCTTTAACTCCCATGTTGCTGTAGCTGACAGGAATACTGTTTTTAAAACAAAACAGCAAAGTTGGAGATGCTGCTATGATTTGTCCATATTCTTTTTTAATCTTCATGGTCGATTCCTGGACTGCTTGGTGCCACACACAGCAGATTCCTGGCATAGGACCAGCTTTCTAGGGAATCTTGGCAATTTGAATCTTGGACAAGTAGGTCCAAGAGGAAAAGAAATACAGGAATTGTTGAGAGGAAAGAGCCGATGAAAATCAATGTCAGGCAAGTACAAATGTTTGTTTTAAATTTGCATTTCTCATTGGCCATTTTGCCTAATAACTTATACTTGAGTGGTCCTTTCCAATCCAGAGAGGGAGTTTGGGGGTTGGCGCTCTGCCTCTGGTTTGGGTGCGCACAGGTTCAAATCCCAGCTCTGTTGCTTAGTAGCCGTGCGACTGCGGGTAAATCACTTACCGTCTCTGAACCTCTGTTTTCTCAAGTGCAACATGGAAACAGTACCCCATTATATGGTGCAATAAGGGCAAAATGAAAAACAACCCACCCATGTGAAGTAGTTGGTACGTTGCCTGTCGCACAGTAACCACTAATCAGATGTTGGAATAATGTTAATTTATTACCGTTACTATGGAGATGGTCCCAAATCTCTATTCTGGGCTTGACCCTTCAGACCTACCTTTCCAAGTACCTGTTATATCCCTTGGCCCACATGTGCCCTTGCTACCTCCAGTCCAGTGTGTTTCAAACTGAGTGTATCAGCTTCCTTTTTAATCCTGATCTTCCTCTAGTTTCCCCTTTGGCAACCTCCTGGTTCCCCAGCTCCAAACCTTTGTGATCGCTGTAGGTTTTCCATTTCCTGTGTAGCCTTTGCTGAGTCTTCAAGTTCATTACCCTCAGCAGCTCACCAGAGTCCTTTCTTCCCCTTCCCGTTGGCCCTGTGTTTCCTTCAAGCCCTCACTGCCTTTTGTGTGAGTACCTAAACTATCCTTAGTCTGCTTGCCTCTAGCCTGCTCTCTCTCCATTAATTTTACATATTTTTGCCAGCTAGATCTTCCAAAGCCAACCTTAAATCACATCACTCCCCTTTCCCCAACACCTTCAGTGACCATTATCTGTGGCTTTAAGTCTGAACTCCTTAGACTAGTTAGGATCCAAGGTGCTCCGTAAATTAGCTCCAACCCACCTTTCCACCTGTATTCCCGCCGACATCATTTATATGCCTTCTTAGAGCTCATTGCCAGATGCTTGGAGCATCATAAGAGTAGGCGGTTGTTCATCTTTGCATTCCCGATGCTCGGCACTAGTAGGTGTTGATGATAATAAACCATAATTTAAACAGTAAGTGAGTAGATGAGTATCATAGCTTACGCTTTTTCCTTTGCTTGAAATCCTTGTGTTCTGGCTCTGTTTATCCACATTCCACCTGTGCTTCCCGGCCACTCCATGCTCAAATCCTTCCCCGGTCCCCCCTCCTCACAGTACCGGTTCCTCCCCATGGCACCTTCCTCAGCACCCCTTCTCTGACCTGCCAACCTCTGCTCCGCAGAGCTGCTTACGAACACGCTTTCCCTTCTGCTGGGCTGTCTGCTCTTCAACAACAGGGTCTGGGTGTGAGTTACTGAGCCCATTCAACATTCACTTAGCAGCCATTTATGGCTGAGTACCTGTTCTGTGCTAGGTATGCAGCTGTGAGCAAGACACAGCTCCCTTCTCTTGGAGTTTACATTCTAGTAGTTCTCAATAATGACCTGCCTCTGTCATACATCAGGCAGTGACTGATCGGGTGGCTGTCATCTGCCAGTCTTTGTGCTAAGTGCTTAGGCTACCAATGTGAATGAAAGTGCTCTTTGTCCTCAGGGAGCCCGTGGTGCAGTAGGGAGGCCGCCACACAAATAAATGATTGTTATATAGTATGTTAAGTGTTAGACAGTATTTCTCAACAGAGACACTGTTGGCATTGTGTGTGGGAAAATTCTTTGTTCTGCAGGACTGTCCCCTGCATTGTGATTGTTTAGCTCCTTGCTTACCCCAACTCCACTAGTCACGTCCCCCAAACCATGTGACAACCCAGACCAGCTCTACATATTTCCAAATGCCCCTACAGGGGTGGTATCCACCTCTCTTGAGAACCTCTCAGTATAAGTCAGGAGAGGACTTTGTTTCCATTTAGCTGGCAAACAAAGGAGGGAACAGTGAGCTCAGTGTGGGGAGTAGGGATGGGGCAGGGGCGGGGAGGGGTGTGTTGAGGAATGCAGCCATGAGGAAGGCATCGGACAGGCAGGGAGGGGAGGCGACAGCATGGTCCATTCCAGGACCTCCCATTTAGGGTGGCTATGGAGAACGGTGCGGGAGGGAGTGTTTGGAGAACTGGAGAGGAATTTGAGCTCTGTGGCGAGGGCTTCATATATAAGACCAATAGGCTTAGACCAGATGCTGGAAGAAAGTCGAGGGAGAAGGCGATAGGGCCTGAACAGGTAGTATTGATGAGGAAGGAACTGACTGTACCCCAGGTTATGATATGACTGTCCTGGGAGTACAGACTTCTAGGAGATAAAGAAACACCTTAAAACCTCAAAGACTTGTGCATTATAAATACTTAGCTTAATCCACAGAATTATCACTGATCTCACCCCCTCTTGGGAGCCCCTGGACTCAGCTAGGGAAACACAAACATGCGCTGGTAGTTGGCACACCAAAGTTCCCTGGAAATAGTCATGTTGTGGGAGCGGTGGGAGGGCCACCTGGCTCTGTATGCCGTTGTGAGGACAGGTAGGCCCGAAGAAAGCCAGGATTCTGCATGATGCAGGACGGTGAAATGATGATACAGAAGGTCCCTCTGTGACCCTAGCCCTTGGATCTCAGTCACGCACAGCTCCAGAACCCGTCATTCGTGTCCTTCCCAGCACCCCTCACAGGGCACTGGTGGGGATTTGGGGGATCTTTTCCTTGCCAGCCCACAGGCTCCTTGGTCATGCTGCCACTCCCACCCAGTGCCTGGTTCTGTGCCTGGCAGCTCAGCAGCTGGTGGTTATTGAATGCACTTTTCCTTTTCTAATTTCTGCCTTTCTCAAAGTGTGTGTGCTACCTATTAGAACCGTAGTGGGTCTTCCCAGGAAATGCGTTTCTTACATCTGCGCTTTCTTTCCTCTGTTCTCTAGTTACATGGCAATGAATTTTGTCCTGTTTTGGAGGCAACATTTGTAATGGTGGCTCGTGACTCTGAAAATAAAGGGTAATTGTTGTTTTTTCCTAATTCCTTATTTTGAATAATTTCAAAGATACATAAAACTGGACAGAAGAATGTAACAAATGTTTGTGTACTCATCACCTAGACTTAAGAATTTTAACATTTTTGCCATAGTTGCTTCATCTTTTTTTAAGTATATTATTTTCTTTATAGTATTTTAAAGCAAATTCCAGACATAATGACATTTCACCTCTAAATAATTAAGTGTAGGCTTCTCTTTAAAAATGAGGATATTTTCTTGAGTAACTACATAACCATTAGCATGTTTTAACAAAAATGCTAGGAAATCCTTACTATATCCTAATAGTTCTTATTGTTTTTCTCAAATACCTTTTTAATGATTTGTTCAAGTTAGGATTCAAACGAGGTCCACATATTACATTTGATTTTTTGACTCTTAAGCCTGTTTTTTTTTTTTTTTTTTGTTAGTGGCTTTCTTGAGATACAATTAATATATACAATTCATGCATTGAAAGTGTACCATTTAATGGCTTTTAGTGTATTCACAGAGTTCTACGGTCTATTAAGGCTGTTTTATACCAGAATAGTTGTGTGTCACCACGTTGTAAGGCCATATTGATTCTTCTATACAATGTCCAGCTGTCTAGATTGATCTTGTCGCTTCCTCATGGTATATATCTTTTGGACTTGTTTCTCTACCTCGGGTATTTTTTGTAAACTGAAGTTAGATCTAAAGCCTTGATTAGATTCTCGATCAACATATTTGGTGACAGCACTTCATAGGTAATGCTATCTACGTATCTGATGTCTCATATTGCTTCACATCAGGAGGTATAGATTATCCCACTCACAGGGATGCTAAAATTGATGAATGAGTTCAAGTAGTAACATACTGATCTTGCCACTGTCAAGTCCAGTTAATCTGTTTATGATCAGCAATGATCTACAGGATGTAGTGCAATGCAGGGTACATCCAAAGTATACTTTGTCATCTGCACATAGCTAGGTCCCCATCAGTCTTTCTCCAGGGATCTTAATGTCCACTGATGATCATTGCTTTAATCATGCAGGGGTGTAAAGCGATCCTCAAATTCTGTCATTCCTTCGACGTTAGCTGGCGTTCTGTAAAGAAGACATTTCCCTTATCAACTAGGGCAAGTTCCTCTCTGAGCTGATGTATTTCAATTTTCTAAGCTGCCATTTTTCAGTTCTTTTGTTTCCATTGTTGTTTCATCAAACTTTTGGATTCTACCACGGTGAAATATTATCTTCCTTTTCACTCAGTTTTTTATTTACACAAATTTGTCACCTACAGAAAAGTAGAATAATGTATTGAATATCCATACCCTTCACTTAAATTCACCAATTAACATTTTACCACCAGCTTTATTTTCCCACCCTCTGTATAAATACACACACACATACACATTTTCCCCCTGATTCATTTAAAAGTAAGTTGAGACTATTACACCCAGAAGAAGTTCAGCATGTATCTCCTAAGAATAAGATAATTCTCCTACGTAACCTCAGTGTCTTTATTATATCCCAGATATTTAACAGTGATAGAATTATATGATCTAATATATGATCCATATTCAGACTTTGCCAGTTGTCTTCGAAATATCCTTTGTAGCTTCTTCCCCTGAATCGAGATCTGATCAAGGATCGTGTATTGCAGTTGGTTATCATGTTTCTTTAAAATAGTCCCTCTGCTATTTTCTGTCTCTTAAGACGTTGACATTTTTGAAAAGTCCGGGCCAGTTGTCTTGTAGAATGTTCTACAACCTATTTTGACTGTTCCCTCATGATTCGGGTCAGGTGAAACATTTTGGCAAACGGCCATGTCCTTTTCATAATGTGAACTTTCTGGTGTACAGGTAAGGCTGTAACCAGAAGCCTCTCCTAGTTGTTCCACGTTCTTGTGTGAAGCCGTCAGTAAGTGTTACCCAAAACGAACAGCAAAGACTTTAAAACTAGCGGGTAGTTGTTCATCTTCCATTCTTATTAGATGATGGCACATTTTAACTGTACTCTTTCCTTCTCTTTAGGCCGGCATTTGTAAACCCACTCATCCCTGAAGGCCCTGAGGAAGAAGAGCTCTTTAGAAAAGGAGAATGTATATTAATTTGTTTATAATAAGATAAACTTTAAAGAGCACATTGTACTGTAGAGGAGATTATGTAGGAGTATATATGGACTTCATATACCAGTCAGGTGTCTTAATAATGCCAAGGATTCACTGAAATTAAAAATACCTTATTTTTTGTTCTGTGGAGTCCATATTTTGAACAATTTTATCAATCAACCAATATTTATTAATTGAAGTCATTTTTAATGAAATGAGAAATGTATCTTAATGAAATAACTGCTGGTCAGGGCGCTAGGTCAGGATAGTTATAAGTGGTTTCACACTGAGTGGATACGACTTCCATGTGGAAGCAGAGAATCACCAACAGTTTTATGTGGGATGTATGTGTAAGTTCCAGCGAGCTTTTTGCTCTCCGGGAATACTGCTTTTGTAGGATGCAGGGTAGCCCAGTTCAGGAACCCCAATGTGTAGTGTGACTCTCCTGATTGTGGCTCTTTCTATTGTCCCACGTTCCAGTGAACAAGGGGAGAAGGGTCGCCTTCAGCTCCATGTCGTTACTGAAAATGGCTCCCAGTGCTGAGGAGAAGACGACTATACATGACATGTTTCTTAGCACGCTGGATTCGAAGTAAGTGAGGCTGGTGAGAGTCCATGTTGGGAAAGCCTTTAAACCTTGGACTTCTCCAGAACCAAGCTTGCCTGAACGTATTGGGATTATTTGCAAATAGTTTACTTTTCAGCAGCCGAACCATGTCCTTAACAGGCTTTACTGACTCTCCCTTTGCACAGGACTGCAAGTTTTCGAAGTCGAGTTTTGCCCTCTAATGCAGTGTGGATGGAGAATTCAAAGCTGAAGAGCTTGGAAATCTGCCACCCTCAGGTATTGTAATTTGGTGAAAAATATAAATAGAATAACTTGAATTCGTGATACTCATCTACAATTTGACACCTTTAAATTTGCCTCCATTTCTATGGCATTGATTCCTTTGTTTTGTATATGAGGGTGGCCATGAGTTTGTATTTGTTAATATTAATTTTATATCCTGTAGGAGAGGAACATTTTCAATCGGATCTTTGGCGGTTTCCTCATGAGGAAAGCATATGAACTTGCATGGGCTACTGCTTGTAACTTTGGGTGAGTTAGATTTAAGGTCGTCTTAACTTTTGAGAAGCGATTTATGCTACCGCACCCGAATGAAACATTATAGAGCAGTATGGAAGTGCTGGGGAATACGTTGTGTTTTAAAAGAAATACCACACTGATACCGGTTGGGTTCGATCTTCATTTTAGGACTGTAGCTCCGACTAGGTAAGTTAGTACATTACAGGCATACCTCGTTTTATTGCGATTTGAGTTATTGCACTTCACAGATGTTGCGTTTTTTTTTTTTTTTTTTACAAATTGAAGGCAGGATCCTCCACCAGCAAAAAGATTATGACTCACTTTATTTCAATGCTTACTTTACTGTATGGTGTAGAACTGAACCCGCAGTATTTCTGAGGTACACCTGTAAAGACCTGAGAAAAGGAGGTGATGATATGCTGAAGGGAAAAGATAGAGTGATTTTGGCATAGATCTGATCCCATTGGCGTCTCTTACTATTCCTCACTGGTATGGTTATTTCTCCTTCTCTAGGTTTATTCTTTAATCATTTAAATTCTGTTTCAGCTCATTGTTAGGGAAAAAAATAGAGATCATCTGAATTTTGCAGTTGACCCCAAATTCTGCCTTCCCCAATAGTGGTTCCCGACCGTTTATAGTAGCAGTGGATGATATCATGTTTCAGAAACCTGTCGAAGTTGGATCGTTGCTGTTTCTTTCTTCCCAGGTAGGTGTGCGACAAGATAAAATACAATTTTTTATCATTTGGGCCTGAAAGAGAAGCGTTTATATCCTAAAGCCACTGCATCTCTTATGACTGCTTTGTTCCCCCTTCCCAATGAGATTGACTGACTGACTGTCATGTCTCTAATCTCTTAGGTTTGCTTTACTCAAGACAATTACATTCAAGTCAGAGTACATAGTGAAGTGGCCTCTCTGCACGATAAAGAGCATACGACCACCAATATCTTTCATTACACGTTCATGTCAGAGAAAGATGTGCCCTTGGTTTTCCCCAGAACATATGGAGGTAAGCAGCAGTGATGGTTAGTCGCTGACAACGGAGACAACTTTTAAAGAGATTTTTCTCCTTTTAAATTGTCATTGAAAATTAGGAGTTAACTGATGCCTGTTAACTTGAGAGCATATCTTTAGGAGATGGTGCTTTCGAGTTTCTGCAGCCCCAGGACACCTCATGGCCCGCAGATGGCCGTGGCTGCTCTGCCTACGTGGCTGTTGTCTGTAGGATGGGTGCCAGCTGCATGCAGGCACTGGTGGTCAAAGACCGGTCTGGCCAAAGGAAAGGGGTGAGAGTAGAGGCCCGTTCCCTTGGGAACCTTGCACACCCTCTGGTTCGACAGTGCTCGTCTGGCACCAGTTCTGCATTCTTGTCGCTGTCCCAGTGTCCTTGAGTAGCCTTGTGCTCGTATCATGGTTTTCTGAGGTGCTGCAAGTTTTTCCATGGTTCTCTCTCTTGTGTTTCAGAGTCCATGTTGTATTTAGATGGGCAGCGGCATTTTAACTCCATGGATTTACCGATGACCCCGAAAAAGGACTACCCGTGGAGCCCCGGGGAAACTGCGCTTGTTGGAGACCAGCAGTCCTCGGAGACACAGTGCCCAGGGAAAGCCTGAGCACTTGTATCGGTTTTAGTGTTTATTCTCATCTTCCATAGCGAAAAACAATGTATTCAGCTTTTAGGATGATCAGAAAAGCAAAACGAATAGAGCAGCTGGGTAGGCAGAGGGAGAGAGAGTTATTAAATAATCAATACTTTGAAGACAATATGAATTGTGAACCCACCATGTTGCCTTCTGCCTGCTAAAGAAATTAGGGCAGATGGCTTTTTATGCCATTGGAAACATTCTTTTCTTATACATATCTCAAACTATCAATATATATGTGGCTTCCTTCTAAGGAGTTCGGAGGGCATTCTTTAAGCCTGACCTTTGCTGCTGTTCCCCTGCGCTGTCTACATCCCATCAACCCTACATGAGTCCTTTGCGTTTTGCCACCCTCCACTTCCCAGCTTTTGTTACAGAGGGTCGATGGAAAGTTGTGGTGAAGGGATTTGCTGAAAGATGTAGCATTCAGAAAGATTTGTGGGAAGCTTTAGATCTAAAGCCATACCAAGTGGAGGTGTTCGGAGATGATCCGGGTGAGGAAACACAGGACCGTGTGTTCATTCTTTCACTCGCCAGACAACTCTTGAGCGCACTGCACTAGGAGCCGGGCAGGATGTATCATTAAAAAGCAAGAACAATAATAATAACAGCTGCTAATACTTACAGAACACTTCCTGTGTGCTAGGTAGGCCCAATCTTCAGCAGTCGACATGCATTAGCTCATTTATTTTTTTCCACCAGCACTTTGAGGTAGGTTCTGTAACCCTCTCACAGGGCTAGGTCACTCAGGAAACTGAAGCACAGAGAGGTTAAGTCACTTGCTCAAGGTCCCACCGCTAGTAAGTGGTGGTGCTGGGATTCAGAACCACACTGTGTGGGGCCAGGGTACTCTTGAACAGTACACCATACTATTTTCTGGGACTACAGCAAGGGAGGCCATACCTAGTATCACAGTGTCACCTAGGAACCCAAAGGCAGGTATTCCCATGAGTCTGCAGCCAAGACAGTTTCTTCCCTTGATGGAATGAGAAGTTGATCAAATTCAGAAGAGAAAGACGAGGCTGCATAGAAGAAAAAAGTCATGTCTGAAGGTGTGCCCAGGAAAGATTCAGTCTTTATGTGGGTTCTAAATTAGTGGTCACAAACTTGGCTTTGCCTCAGAATTAGTTGGAGTGCTTTTAAAGAAAATCATATTACTTTAGTATTTACTGAGATCACAGTTACCATGAACAGGCACTTCTGGCATAGTCGGTCATAGGCACAAACACGACTGCTGGGGAGGCGTGCCATGTGACTCCCGGAATCGGGCCTGTGTGGCACGATAGCTTGCTAGCATCAGGCCTCATCCCTACACAGGACTTACTACTACCGTCCCGAGCTTCGCCTGGCCCTTCAGCGCAGCATTTTACACATCTACCTGTAGACCCCTTGGGGCCTCAGAGGTGACTGACAGGAAGGGATGTGCCCTGGAGAGTGGCGTGAATGTTAAGTGGAGTCCAATAAAGAGACTTACTGCTTCCTTTTATACAGATTATACAAGTATACATTTATCCATTTATTGCTGTACATCAAAGCTTTTTCTAGAATTTTCCTTGCTATTATAAGCAGCATTGCAGTAAATATCCTAAGTAGCTAAAACATTTAATCCTTAAATTATTTCCTTAGGAAAATTGTAGAGAAGTGATGTCTATTAAAAATAGTATGCACATGTTGAATGTTTTGAATATGTATTTCACGTAACCCTCTAAAGCAGCTGCATGCATCACTTACTCATCAGCACTTTCCCTGAACTTTGCCACATTTTATCCTATTCTTTGAAAAACATCTTTCCCATTTTCCTAGGTGAAAAATGCCATTCATTGACTCTGAATTGTACTGACATGTACCTTTAAAAAAATTTCTCATTGTCTTTTTAGTTAAATTACTTGTTATAGTAATTTTGGATGTCAGAATATTAACCCTAAAGTCTGTTATCTACCAATAAAGATTTTTATGTTATAAGAACTAGAGATTTTAACACAAGACTTTAAGAAGATGAGATGAAGCAAACTATGAAGGAAATACAGTAGGTTCTAGATATTTATAGTGTTCTGTCTCTTTATCAAACTTTTTTTTTAAATTAAGTTTATTGGGGTAACATTGGTTAATACAATTACATAATTTTCAGGTGTACATTATAATTTGACATCTATATATTCTATTGTGTTTACCTCTTTATCGAACTTTTAACCGGTACCAGCACTGCTGTGTGTCTGTCACGGAACTTCCTCATGTCGGTTGGATGTGGTTTTATATCGAATAGTTCACGCTGAAATATCCCAATTTTACTTCATGCCTTTCTTACTAAGTTCTTAGTTTTTGCTAAGGTATTTCTTCAATGGGCAGTCTTCAAGGATGGTATCTTTATCACTGGTTTCTTTAGAAGAGTTCACTCTAGTAGGCTTTGCACTGTTGTGTGTGCCCATGTGATGCTGTGGAACCGTTTCTTGTGGGAACCCAAGTACCCTGTCTTTGTGTTCCCTTTGCTACCTGCATTCTCTATGATATGACCCATTTTCTGTCATCTCTTTGAATAGAGCCAGGAATTTGATCCTGAAGAACTCAAGTCCTTCTCCTAACCCCAGAGACTTCACCATTTTATTTTCAATGAGTTTGTGCAGACAGACCTTTTATCTAAAGCTATATTTGATTCTGTGGGATAGCTGGGCTCACCTGGGAGGCTCTTCTGCTTTATGTGGCATTGGCTGCGGTCCCTCAGGCAGCTGCGTTCAGCTGGGAGCTTGTCTGGGCTGGGAACATTTGATATGTCAGCTGGGGTGACTGGCATGGGTGGAGGCTGGTCAGGCCTCTCTAACAGGCTGGTTGGATTTGTATCATGCTGGCTCAAGGGCTCCAAGAGCAGCCAGACAGATTCTCAGGTCCTAACTGTGTCATCCTGCTTCTCAAAGGCATTTTTATGAAGGTAATGATCAGTGGTGTCATGGAAGTTATAAAGATGAGCACTGGGAAAAGGCTACCAGTTGGACGATTGAGAGATGCCAGTAAGAAAAAACGGTTTCAAAAAGTGATGGTGTCTAGGGCTGGATGGCAAGGGTGTGAGTCATTGCAAGTGCCCAGCTCTCTCTTCTAGGTACATTCCTTGTACACCTGCTGCTAGTGAGATGCTCTTTTATAAATATTTTATTGATGAGTAACATTGGGAAGCACGGCCTAGGCTAACCCTCCTGTGATATGTTATAGTGCATATTAGCTTACAAAAGACACTTTGAAAAGTAGGGCCATAAGAACACCTGTTTAACTTTGTTTAGTTCTCGTGACACTTAACCATGGACCTTCTTCTTTTTGTTAATACCTATGAATAAATTGAACACGCTAGGAGTTTTTATAACTTTTACAAAGCTGAGATCAGACTCTGTGCTCTATTTTGTAACATGAAAAGGCAGTCTAGTATATTGTCCAAGGAGTAAATCATTATGCCCTTCTTTGGTGTGAAGAATCAAATATTAGTACTATGTTTCTTAAAACTAAATTTTGGATAGCATTTTAGATCTTATATTTCCAGCTTTCAAGAGTCGGCAGTCTTGCTTTGGAGTATAATTGCTGTCATTTTTGATGTTTTGTAAAATGTTAACTTCCAACAATGTGTTTAAATGCACAACATTTGAAATAATCTTTTAGCATTTTGCTCCTTTACAGATGAGAAGATAGAGGCCAAAGGAAGTGCATCAAGAGGATAGTGAAGGTTAGTTTATGAGATTTTTGCCTCCACTTTGATAGAATACAAGTTGGTGTTACCGATTTCTGTTTCTGGGCAAGAACTTCAAGTTCAAAATCAATGCTTTATGCTTTAACATGAAAGCACCTGGAAATACTTAAGCGATTCTTTATTTGGTTATAGAATCCTATGGCAACTTATAAGTGAAGGGTGGCCCAAAATCAGTTAAAAGGTGTAATCACAAAGTAAGAATTTTTATATGTGGCTAACACATACTGGATTCTTATGTGCCAGGCATTGTGCTGATGACATTAAGATGTATTTTCTCATTTAATTCTTATAATCACCCTTTGAGGTCAATACTGTTATTCCCCACATTTTGCAGATGATGGAAAGTGAAGGTTAGGAGGGAAAGTAAGTTCCCAAAGCCAACCCTGTGACTGTGTATAGGTGGAATAGGCACAGACTAGATCTAGAATATTGGCTCTTTGCCACATTTTATACATATTTTCTCTGCTGTTATGATATAGGGTTAACTAATAATTATATATATATGTATATGTATACATGAGACTATATCAGAATACAATCAGATCTCAGCCATAATTGATGAGGTTGGCTGAAATATTTTTGGCATTTTAAAAAGCAGGTTTTGTTTTATTTTTAGAATTATGTGATGGGAAAAAAAAAGAAAATTAAAAGGGGTTGCAGTGAGTCAGTAGTAATCCGATGAGTAGTAGTGAGTGGGAGACTGCTGGTTATTATTTAGTTTTTAGGTCTAGTACATATATTACTTTTGATTAAAGTAAAAATAAATCATCACAAAAGTTATCTCAATATCAAAGCTTACACTCAGAAACTTCAATATGTCTGGTTAAGAGCTGTGAATCTGTAGACAGACTGCGCAGTTTGGAATCTCAGCTCTGCCACCGATTGTTATATTTGAACAGATTACTTCACCTAATGATGCCTAATTTCCTTATATGCAAAATGGAAATAGTAGTTATATCTGCCTCTTAAGGCTGTTAAGAGGATCCAGTGAGGTGATATTTGTGAAGTGCTTAGTATTGGGCCTGGCACATAATAAGTGCTATCTTATAATCTGTTATAGTAAAAATAAAACAACAAAAAGGACATCTATGTCATAGGAAAGTTACCTTGGCTTCGTTTAAAAATCTATACTGAGAATCAATGCCAAGAACAGAAATCTCACTCTACCTTAAACATTTTTATTGATTCTCCCTAGATTTACTATATTCAAAAATATTTTAAAAAGTAAGTTTGTGCTCCTTTATCTGCTTAAAGAAATGTTTCTTGGCACATTAGTCAGATTCTGATTACCCATTTTATTCAAAGTGTGTATACTCAAGAATTTTTTCCAAAGCGCTCAAAACCCTGTAATACGATTTTTCAAAATCAGCTGACCTGGCCAAGCTTCCTGGCCTACTTGTGAGCCTGAGTCTGAGATGGATTAGCAGAAGAAAAGTTGGCCTACTTTGAATCTTCAATAGGAAGAGTTTGTTAAAACAAAAATGACCCTGAAGGACGTTACTGGCATAAAGAAGAGTTCATTCTGGTTTCCACTGATTTGTCAGGCACAGGGGAAAATATAAATTATATTAGCCTCAGGGCATCAGCTTATCCTTTGGAACCACTGCAGAATTATTAGAAAATATGTATTAAGACCAGCAAGAAAATAAAATCAACCTTTTCCCCATCTTTTTCTTATTTAGTAACCTTTTTGGGATTTGTTGGTTGTGAATATATATTGTTGTGAGGAATTCAGTATTTAAAAAAAAAACATAATTTTTCTGAGGAAAATATGCCCCATTAACGCAGCAAAAAAAAAAAAAATTTAAAAGGCAACATAACAATGAAAATTTGAGACTACATATTTTAAACATAGTTGGTGTATCATGAGCTCCTGAAGGGCAGTGACTTTGACTTTTATTTGTGTGCTTCTCTCTGTGCAATGTCCAGGACGTATTCAGCATTCAGTCAATGTTTATTTCATTGAGTTAAATCTTGGTTAAAAATCTTTTCTGGGGACATTTTATTTTCATTGTGACTCTGAGGCTGTCTAGATGAATATTCAGTTTATTCATAGTATTGAACTGTAAAGGTCACCATGACAAGGTAGTGGAGAAAATATGAATATAGGAACTTGAAGATTACTTCATTCGTTTCACAGAGGTAAACACAAAATGCTGTATAACTGTCTGCTTTTAATTAGCTTGTCAGAAGATTTTGACAAAGACCTCCAGTAGATTACTGAACAAACCCGGTTGCAGATTACTTATATTTAATCAATTATTGTCTTTCATAGCTTCATGTTCATTCTATTCTCTTACCAATCATATACTCCCTTTTTGTTTATATTTGTAACTATAAGGTTTTGTAGAGGTAAGTTTGCCTTCTCTATGTTTGCTGTACCTTCTCTCAGCTTGAACATATACTTTATATCTCTCCTGATATTTTTATTTGGGTCTGAGTATGATGTTTCTAGTACTGTTTATACTATTATTTCTTTCCCTTGGTTTTTAAAATGTAAATGCTGGTTGTTATTATTATTATTATTATTATTATTATTTTAGCTCTTAAAGTCAACCTAAATACAAAGAATAGAAGACTTGATTGTGGTTGCAGCAGAGAATATTGATATTAACAGCCTTGCTACTGTAAAAGTGAAAGTGTGTCTGCTGAAGGTCAAGGGAGGACAGTTGAAAGGGGGTATGAGGCATTAATATTCTCATTTTGCAAAGGGAAGAATGAACCTTTGCCACATTTTATACATATTTTTTTAGCTGTTATAAAGGATTAACTTGTGATTTTATATATATATATATATATGTATGTATGTGTATGAGACTATATATATCAGAATGCAATGGGTTCTGATTGTATTCCGATATATATTATAACCATAATTGATGAGGTTGGCTGAAATATTTTTGGCATTTTTAAAAGCTTCCCCTTAGAATAAAACTTTTGCTTCATTTGTGATAGATTCTTTAAATTGACTTGTGGATGTTTTCTTCCTCTCCTTTGGCAACAAATAATGAACTGCTGTAAAATAGGTAACAAGAAAGAGGAATGAAAAATAGGGATTTGGCAAGTTCAAAATGGATTTAAGGGTCTTTGGTAAATCACATGGCTTCCAGATGAAACTTGTATCATGAGATTATTTTGATCTAAGAGGCTCAATCTAAGGCGGATTTGGGGGTGCTTTGGTCCAGCGTCTGGCAGGCAGTGCGTCGTGGGAGAAGTGGCCTGAATGTCTACACCTGTGAGGTCTCGCCTACATCTGCAATGAGCTAGGTCAGGGTACAATTGGAGATTCATTGCTTCAGGTTTCATTTCTTCCTCCATAAAAGTAGGGACACTTTTTCACTCTATGGTCCCCTGATTTAGGCTTATATTTCTTCACTTGATTCAGCTGTTTAGTTATCAAAATACTTTAATGAATATATTGCATATCATCTTAAAAATAAAATCCTATTTAAGATGTGAATGCTAAAGAAGAAATGGAGCCTCAGAATAAAACAGGCTTTTCTGAAAGCCATTCAGGAATCCAGAGGTACTGAGAAATTAATACTGCAGAGGAACGATTATAGTAACCAAAGAAAGGGTAGGGATCTTGTGTTTTGTGTTAAAGAAATTGTGCACCTTTAATAGAAGAGAAAATATGGCTAAAACAAATGAGTTTTTCAAACTATGGGTCGTGACCCATTAGTGAGTCATGAAATTTATGGGTTGTGACCAACATTACAAAAATAAAAGATCAGAATGCATTTTGCATAGTAATGGTAAGTGTTGTGTGAAACTTATGCTTGTACAGGGTGCACAAACACATTTACCTGTGTACTACGTCACAGTGTAAAATGTACTTCCACCTGGGTCAGGGTCATTGATGGAAGGAGTTGTACTCAGTACAAATTAAGATGCCTACTTGAGTTGTCCTTAGTTTTGAATTGGTCTGAAATTTTTAGTAATTTTTTCCTAAGTTAGATTACATAAAACAAAACAAAACAAAACAAAACAAAACATTTGAAAGTTAGTTGTTGCTCTTTCAGTTTAGCCTGGAAAGGGGCCTCAGGATGTGGCAAGTGGCTGGTTTCGGTGTGCTTGGCGCCATCTCGTGGCCTTTGCGTTACAGTGCAGCGTATTTTCTTTAATGGAAACCTTGCCAGTTGTTTCTGATAGATGTGTCCCAGTTGAGCTGTACAAATGACCAGAGAAGTTAACGAAATCACGTCTGCAGATTCAGTTTTTACCTTGTCTAACCTTGGCCGCATGGTGGACCCCTAACTTTGGCCAATCAACTCTAAAGTATATGCCATCTCCTAGTAAGATTATCATGAGAGAGAAAAATCAGTCAGTGCTCCGTCTCTTGAGGTTGGGTCACAAGTACTATCTTTTTATAAAAAAATGGTGCACTTCTGGTGATAGAGCCTTCAGTGGAGGAGTAGGAAATGGGCTTACACTCCCCTCCTCTGTGACACCTTCCCTCATTCCAGTCTTTCCTTGTAGTTGCTCATGGTCACGTTGGAGCCACCACAAGTGTCAGTGTTTTTAGCATTTATTACATCATATTGCTGCTTTCATTGGGAGACTGGGCTTCTTGAGGGAATGATTGTGTCATATCTTTTTATCTGCATTGTCTTGCAAACTACCTTGTACACGGTGTAGGTAATATTTCTGTATGAACAAATATGTGATTTAGGTGACTTTGAGTGTTTGACTTGGCTTTTGAATTTGTTCATTTAAAAGGTTAAGTCTCAGGAAGGTGGATCTTTAAAACTATTTTTAGGTTTTTACATAAGTGTACAGCATTATGCCAAAGTTGTGTTATTATGTTAATAATGGACTTGATAAAAGTTGCTTTGCTAAGACTAACTATATCATAACTATGCTAAACATTTTTCTTTCCTTTGAAAAGCTGGGTAAAAATTTTAATGAGTTTATAGAAGTGTGTATATGTGTTATGTATATGTATGTGTACACACACAAAAATATCTTTCTGCTGACATGGAGACCTTTCTGAGCTATTTATCTGAAATACATTTTATCACATTCATATACTAGTAACTATTCAAAGATATTTCAGTGACAGCATTGTCAGAAAGTTCAAGGGTAATGAAATATAAGGATGCATTCCATGATATCAGATGTGGGGGCTTAAGGTACAAAAATATCATTAAATAGTCAAGTAGCGTTAATGTATTTGAGAATAAAACATAACAACCTGGAAGTCTCCCGACAGATGGAAAATTTAGGATGTAAGATTAGATGTGCCCTTGGACAGAAAAGAAATGATAGGAGTGAGGACTGGACCCTTGCATGAGAGTGTGGGGACTAAGAAATCTCTGGAAAAATAGTCCATTGCAATCACTGGAAAGCTCAAGGTACTGGCAAGACTTAACTGGGAGTCAACAGATCAGAAATTGGAGGGAGAAGCATGGAATTACAGATGTTGTACACACACTGAAAAGATTGCCTGTGTTTCATAGAAACTTCAAGTCACCTCTTGACCTACTTTGGATAACTGCCTAGTGTCATGGTGTAGTCTGTCCTCCTGTAGAGGCAGCTACTAACTAAACCAGTCTCCACCTCTGTCTGTGGGCAGCTGTCTATAGAGAGGGGTTTCTCAGCCTTACCACTCACTATTGACATCTTGGGCCAGTTAAGTCTTTGTTGTGGGGCTGTCTTGTCCATTGGAGGATGAGTCACAGCCCCCTTGGCCTCTATCCACTAAATGCCAATAGCACTCCCGCAGGTGTGAGAGCCAAAAACATCTCCAGACAATACCATGTCCCCTGGAGGCAAACTGTCCCTGGGTGGGAAGCACTGCTCTAGATTATGGTAGGCCAGTATGTTCAAGGAATAGTTCTTCTGTGGGTGCGACCTGGTCAGGCCCAGGGCCCATCTTTTCCATTAGGGCAGGAGACGATCCTTCCTGGATACTCTTCATCCAGTCTTCTGTAAATGGCCACATGAGATCATCTTTAGAATATAATTTTGGACCTGTAGGCTTTCAGAAGTCAGCTCTTTGAAGGACTAGTTTACAAAAGGCTCTAAGGAGTACATTTGATGCTCTTTTATTTATAGGTATTTACATTACCCAATTAATAGGAAAGTGGTAAGTCCAGATTTATTTCCACTTTTTTGTAGACCCTCAGAAACTACTACACTATCAACACCTGCTTTAGTAATTAAATACTAAGTTCCTTGAGGGCAGAAAAATCTTTTGTCACTGATACATGCCAAGTGTTTAAGTGATCAATGGTTGCTGAATGTTGAATGAAATATTAATGACTGGCTTTTTTGAATGCATCTAAAAATACCTTTTTTCCTTGTAAACTTACCTAAAATGAACACGAGGTTAGAAAAAAGCTCCATAGAATGTAAACTATTAATCAAGAAGATACAGGCTTGTTCCATAAGTAAAAAGTTTGTACTTTTCAGACTGGAAAGAGGAAATCTGAGAACAGGATTCTAGTTGTATTGGAAGTAGTGACAAGATGGTCACAGACCTGTTTCAGCACCAAAGTACTAGCAGTCTTCAACTGTACTAATAGCTTGGCTTTTAGAATTTCGACTGTAAGCTAGCATTTAGAACGTACTTTGTTATAGCAAAGGGTTATAAATGGCAGTTGGATTCCTCTGTCCAGATCCAAATGCCTATCACTAACCATCTGCCATTTATGACAGAGTTTCAGCCAGGCTTGTAATACCCCTAGTTCTAGTGATGGCTTCCCCAGGAGTGATGAGAGGGATTAACACAGAAGACAGGATGAGGCAAATTCTCTTGGGAATGGGGTCACTTAACTACATGGCACATCTGTAGATGATTATGACAGTCCTTGCCATATTGGGGTGGCAAATGAGGTCATGAGGTAGCCCTGGAGTTCAGCTTTATATATGGTCATTTGTTAAGAACTAGCGACATATATTCAGGGATTCAACTTTTACTTGTTAAACTAAATATAAACATGTAAGTTGTTACTTGTAAATTTGGTACAAGTGGAAAACATGAATTTAGAGAAGGGGTGTGTGTGTGTCCAGAGGACTTTATGTTGTACAGAGCAGTGGACTCTGGAGTCAGCTGTCCCTACCAGATACTGTGGAAGGAGACTGCTCACAACCTGTCCTTTCCTGCCACCCTCAAAGGTGCAGAAGGGTAGCCACAGTGGAGTGTTGTTAAGAGCTCAGAAACTAGAATGAGCCTGTTTAGGTTCAAAGTCTGATTTTACCTTTGTGAGCTAGCTGTGACTCTAGGTGAGTAGCTTATCTGGGCTTCAGTTTCCTTGTCTGTAAAATAAAGAACTCACAGTTGCTGTGAGGATTAAATAATGGCCCTAACCTGCCTGGTATAACACCTGGCACATGGCACATACTATGCAAATGTTAGTTGTTACTGTTATTACTAGTTTGAGTCAACCTGACATTTCTTATTTTGGAAAGAGAATAACTTGCCTATCTTTTGGCATTCGTGTCTAATTTGAACACTAAATATCTTTGGACCCTAAAATGGATTCTTATATTCACCAAGAAATTACTACTGCAACACAATGTGGTAAAACGGTGAACTTTATTGGGAACATTCGAGCATCATAACGTGAAGTATTTTTCAGTTCAGTTTATCGAAATACTTCAGTTTTCCAGCTGGATCTGGGATTATCTGTTAAAAGAAAAATGCAAATTATTCATTTTAAAAGCCAAAGTATGTCATTGGTTGTCCAACATTAGTTGCCTATCTCTTGACTAAAGAAGATACTTTTTGGGTGCCAAATTATATATCATATGTATATAGGAAAAACTGGATTTGTCCTACCTACTAATCTCAGCTGTGCCAAAAGGCAAATAACTTGTTAATAAATTAACATCTGTACTCAAGCACCCCCAAATTTACTTACAGCTCTTCTCTTGGCCACCAGGCTTTCATGGCATCTTCAGGTTTGATCTAATTAAACCAAACATTAAGAGAGCATGGCTACAGATGTTAATGTATTTCTAAATCATCTGCTGAAATGTTGGTATGTCATAACAACTTGAAAAGGGGGCAGTGTGTTCAAATGGATTTTTTGGAGGTCCAGAATGCAAACTTTACTTTCAAACTGCAAAGTAAAAAGAACAAACAAACAAACAAACTCAAATACAACATGAAGCATACCTTCAATAACTATTTAGTGACTGAACAAATACTCCGAACAAAAAACTGCTCTCTACTAGAGCATCACAGCCTTAGAAACCTACTAGACTCATTTGAAATTTCCATATAAATTGACCTCACATTAACTGTTACTTGATAGTTACAGGTAAAGTGCATCTATCCTTACATATAAAGAAAGCTCTTGTAATCAGCTTACGATAATTCTATATGCATTTTCTTCTGAATTTTTCTTCAGTATAAAATAAACATTACCTAGTTTTTTAGGCATCACTTTGAGTTTTCTGTCTTTGCTAATTTATGATTTCTCTGCATTTAAATTCAATTTCCAGCTACTTATGGAATAACTTTGTGTCAAAAGCATGGTGGGCAGTGGTAACTACTGAAGTCCATGCCTTTGGGGCTCATGGGGAAGATGTCCGTGCACACAACATTTGATGCAATGTATAATACGACTGTGTATGATGCAGGCTGTGTGACTCAGTGCAGGCTGAGATGGCATTAGGGATGGTCGCAGAGTGGGGCTGGCACTTAAGTTGATCTTGAAAAAGGAGTAGAATTTAGAAAAGGGGACAGGTATTCCAGGTTCTAGAAAGACTTGAGAAAAGGCACAAAGGTCTGAAAAAGCAGGGCTTGTTTTAGGGGAAAATGGGTCAGGTAACCTGGTGGGAGCACAGCATGCAAGAACCACAGGGAAGGTGACTCAGGAAAGACCTATGAAGACAAAGAATGCAAAGGCTTAAAGGCTGTGCCCAGTATCTGGACTTTGTCCTGTGAGTACTGGAGTGCCACTAAAAGGTTCTCATCTGGAGAATGACATGCATTGGAGAGAAGCTTGAGGCCAGGGAGACAAATTGGGGAGGCCTGTGCAATATACAGGGGAGAAGTGAGGAAAATAGAGATGAAAACTTCATCTATCTTCAAAGAAACACCACCTCCAAACCTTTTCTGATCCTACATCCCCCACTTTCCAGTTACTTTCTTTCCTTCTCCCCTTCATGGCTTTCTTGAACTAGTTCATACTTCATCTCCTTTTCCTTATCCTGCTCTCACCCCCATACTCAACCGCTCCAAACTACTTTCTGCCCTGTGGTCACCAGTGACTCCACATGGCTCAGCTAGTTCACTGTACCCCAGTGCTCCATGCCACAGGACACTGGCATTCCTACCCCACTGCTCAGAGCTCACTCTATTCCTGCCACAAGCCCCCTTTCTGTTCCTGGAGCTGGTTAAGTTGGTTCCTGCCTTGGCCTGTGCCCTTCACTGCTCTGTGCATGCCTGGCTCCCTCTTCACTCAACGTTTCAACTCAAATGTCTTAGAAATCTCTCCTGACCACTTTATCCTCACCCCAGGCACTCTCTTACCAACTCACTCCTATCAACCTGTTTCTGAAACATTTGCCACAACCTAAAATTAGAATGTCGGGTGGCTCCATAGTGTAGTGGTTAGCATATCTGCTTTACACGCAGAAGGTCCTGGGTTCGCACCCCAGGTGGAGCCATGGACCATGTCCCGAGTGTGCCAGGCCCTGGGTACACACCACGAGCGTGTGGGAGGAGACACCCCGCCTTCAGAGATCCAGTTCTTAAAAAAGTAAGATGGCAACATCCATAGGTCAGGAGTGGATGTGGGGGTGGGGAGGGGTGGGGAATTAAAAAGAGTAAAAAAAAACCAAAAAACAAAAAATAAATAAAATTAGAATGTAACTCCGAGGGCAAGGACCTTGGCTGTAGTGTTCCCTAATAAATACCTTCTGGCTATTGTTTGAATAGTTGCTATACAGCAAGTGCTCAAGAAATGTCTGTTGGAAGAATGCCCATAGAGAAAGAAAATGGTGGTTGCATAAATGGGGGAAATGGGGAGATGCTGGTCAAAGGGTACATGCCTTCAGTTTCAAGAGGAGTAACTTCTGGGGATCTAATGTATAACATGATGACTATAATTAATAATACTGTTTTGTATACTTGAAATTTGCTAAATCTTAAGACTTCCTCCCATACACAGAAAAAGGTAACTATGTGAGGTGATGCATTTGTTAATTAATCTGATTGTACTAATCATTTTACAATGTATGCATATGTCAAATCACATTGTACACTTTAAATAAATATATACAATTCTATTTGTCAATTATACCTTAGTAAAGCTGAGAATAAAAAAAGAATGTCCAAACACAGCGTATGATAACACATGTGCATTTTTCTGGAGGGAGAATCCATGGTTTTGATCAGATTATCAAAGAAGTTTTGTGCTCCCTGCCCTTCCCCCCTGTTAATCAAATGGATAGTTAACATGTTTTCAGATATGCAAAATCCTCACCCTATGATACCCTTCGTTGTTAATTTGTACTTCTTGGGAGCTCTTGCTGATCTCTCAGCACATGTCTGTGATTGACGGTGACATTATTCATCAGTACTGATGCTTTTGTTACAGCTCCAGGAGGAGGTGCCCCTGGCTTGAAGGCCTATCCTAAAATGCTTTTTAAGGCTTCTCAGGTGATGCCTATAGTATCTGATTCATATTTCTCTCTGTAAGTATCAGTAATTATAAACTAACCTAATGACTAATTTATAATTTAAAGTACTTAGTGCTCAAAGTACTACTTTAATGCCTAACTTCAAATCCCCTTTGAGATCCATCAGATCTATGTAGAGGTGAGTACGTTTGTATTGTAATATTAACTTTAACCCACAAGGACAAAGCTGTTTTGCAAACCCATCAAAACCTGGTTCAAAACCAGTGTTACTTTACCTAATCTGAGTGAGCTTACACAGTGAATTTCTACCTCTCATTGTCTGTGGCCAATGGTACTTTTTTTTGTTTGCTAAGAAAGTCTTAGGAGTCTATATTTTTCTTTTATCCTAAGATGATTTCTTCCTCTAATGCTCTAGTATTTTTCAATTTCATAACTACAGTTTGTGTAAAACTCTTGATTTTTAGAAGATAACATGTTAACTAAAAAAGGTTCCAGTAAGTTTCCAAATTGTATTTTGGCCAGACACTACTTCAGCGATTGTCTATAAATTACACAGCCTCCCTAAATGAGAGAATGAACTTGTTTCAATCTTTTTTCCTTCAAATGATAAGGAGACAATCATTAGCTTCAGTCTTACTTAAACCAGGTTTTGCTTGTGACTTTTCTTTGCCCACAGTATAGGAAGAAATTCCATATATGATCTCTGAGAGCTCTGAATTTATTTTACCAAGTCTCCATGTTCCCTTTTTGTTTTTAGTGGTATATTTCTCTGGATACTTGGCTTTAAAATTCATAGCATGAAGTCCCATCTTCTGCTTTCTCTAGTTTTAGCTACTTTTCCTATAGTTTAAAGAATGCCTGTACTCTTCTGATTTTTGCCTAGCAATGCTTGTTAACTTCATTTACAAAATCAAGACAGTACTATTACAAGGAAAGCTTATTGTAAGGTTGGCATTCTTCTTTGGCCCCAGCCATCCCCTTAATACAAAGATTAGTTCGACTTACTGTTTCACTACCAGGTTTCCAGCCAGCAGGGCAGACTAAAAGGAACAAAAATTAGCAAAAGATAGTTTAAAAACAAAGTTCAGTTCTCTTCAGCAACTCTTGGCTTTTCTTTTTCCAAATGAAACAAAATACAGCCTATATCAATGAGAACATTTCTAGGCCACTGAACACTTAACTTCTGTTAGCTTGCCTGCTTGCACCAAGGAATTTTAGTCATGGAGCTTATCAGCAGGCAGCTAATCTATTTTCATTTTTGCCAGTTATGTTTAGTTCCAGTTACAATGTAAGAAACCAAACCTAGTGATCCTCTAATAAAGTTGGAAAGTTTGGAAATTTGGCAAAAATTTGGCATGGCAAAAATTTCTCCAAATTTATATAAACGTACAATAAGCTTATTTGCTATTTCCTACAGTATTTTGTACCGATGTTATGGTTTGCTGTATGTCAAGAGACTTTAAAACTATTCGGAAAGTAGGATATCCCTTTGACTTAGAATGCATCCTGACCCAGGCTCTGAGTTACACTTTTAAAAGGAATATAAAACATATGTTCTATTTCTAGTAAAATCTGACTTTTTCCATTTAGCTACTGCAAAAACTTGGGAATGAAAGGATGAACTGATAGATTACTAGTGTGATTCTGAATAACCTTGAGGATTATTGACTTACCTTGAGGAAAAAATTCTAAATCAAATAATATAAACATGCAAATACAACTTATATTACTACATATTGCCAGACTGGCAAATTTTAAGTTTACAGAAACATAATTTAAAAAATTGCAGTAGCAGAAACTTTTTTCTATCCCAAAGGGCTATACAAATAATGAATATTTTTGCATCTTATTCAGTAAGTAGACTATATTAGTGATACTTTGTTAAAAACACTTTAAATAATTTGATCTGCTAAAAAGATTGGCTAATAATTTGCAATCAGAAGACTTTGGAACCATCCAAATTACTTTTAGGATAGGAAACCAAATTAATTATGCTGCTTTCTCAAACTAAAAAAATCAAAAGCCTATGATGTTTAGAAGGCAAGGGTACCTTCTCCATGTTTGTCAGTGTACTGGAATGCTTGAACCAAACGAAGTGTCTCATCCACTGATCTACCCACAGGAAGGTCATTCAGAGTAATTTGTCTCAGGATTCCTTTGTCATCGATAATGAAGAGACCTCTGTAAAACACAAGAACGGCAGAGGTAAGGCCATTTCACCTCAGTTAAGACAAATATTAGTTAACGTGAATCCCTGTACCATCTGCACAGAAGCATTGTTATACTGAACGACACACTACCTACCTGACTGGTATGTACACACGCACACACCCTCAATACCCACACTTATCTACTATATAATTTGGGATTATCGTTGCTAAATGGTAACTTTAAAGTTTTCTTTTTGTCTATGAAATGTCTGGAGGGACATGCACCCAGTGTTTCCCGGGGTCATATAATTTGTGTGTTTGGGGTCACAGCAGAAATCTTTGCATTCTCCCAGTTGCCATGGGCATGTTCTAAGGGTTGTGCAAAAAGATGTTCTCTTTGTATAATAATCTTCATGTCTACTAGGTTTGGGATTTTACTGCACCGTAAATGAAATGAAAAAACTACATAGCAAAGTCTTCTTTTGGGTGAAAGAGTGATTGATCTATCTTGCTCATCACTGGCTGTTTAGAATGTCTTTATATTTCCTTTTTCAGTGGTGAAAAAAAAACAAGTTCACCGATATAAGCTAAGTTACTGTTCCCTCTAAATCTCTCTATGTGATTCACTTCTATGGCCTGGGGAATAATGTAGTTTGATAAAAAAAAAAAGACCTGTTATTGAGATAGAGGTGGCATTATAAGAGTTAAAGTAGACTAGAGATAAACAGAAATTTTCGAAGGACTTTATTGTCTATTTAAGTCAATATGGATTTCAACCTACTACTTTGGATTAGAAAAAGATCTCGGGTACTGGGGCTAACTGCTTGTGTACAACTATTATAAATAATGATGAGATATGTTTTTAATAGAAATATATGCAATTACATATCTATTCCATGAAATTTTATTTCATAATTACATTAAACATTACTAAGGTATTCCTCTTTATCCTACAAGTTTTTGAATGAACAACTTAATGTCTGAACTAATTAGGGCTTACTCTCCTTGGGCCAGGTAGACCTGCCAAATTTGGGCAAAACTGTTAATTATTATTCATATGGGTGTTCTTTCATGTAGCTACTTTTACAGTTGAAAACTGTTGTCAGTGGTGATCAAGTCTGTTCTGAGGTGAGCCTGATCTGAAATTGAGCCTGATACCTCATAGCAATACACATCACGCAAAAACAAATCTGCCTTTTCTTTGGTAGCAAATTCTAGCTTCAGTTTTCTGTTTTAATTTTGTGAACTGCTTCTTTGGTAGACTTTGAGATTAAGACATTTGCCATACTTGGTATAATATGTATGTATGTGTCTTTCACAGAGAAGAGATAGATCATTCTTATAAAAAATCAGAAATAAAAATGTCAACAGATATCTCAGTAACAACCCCAGAAGCTAAATGTAGCAGGGTAATGCTTTCAAATGTTTGCAGGAAAATCTCTTTCAATCTAGAATTCTATACCCAGCCAAATTATCAATCAACATGTGAGCAGAATAATAAAATTTTTCTGACTCGGAAGGCCTCAACCATTTTATCTTCCAATGACCTTTTACTAGGAAGCTATGAAGATGTGCTTCACTAAAACAAGGGATTAAATAAAGAAGACAGGCAGGCATGGGAGCCAGAAAATTGGGGAAAAGGGAGAGTAACTGCTCATAAGTGTGGGTTTCTTTTGGGGTAATGAAAATATTCTAAAATTGATTGTGGTGGTGGTTGCACAACTCCCTGAATATACTAAAAATATTGAATCGTATGCTTTATATTGGGTGAGTTGTATAATGAAATATCTCAATAAGACTTATTAAAAAACAGGATTATAAAATACTGACACTTTCACGTAAAACATTAGGAAAAAAACTATTAGTATTGCAAAGCAAATCAACAACTATAATAAAATTACAACTGGTTTAAGCTAAAATTGCCTTTTTTTTTTACAAAGAATTCTATTAGCATCTATTAGCTCAAGTAACCCTGTGAGAGCTATCGAGTAAAATATTTTCTCAATTTTTCCCACTACAAAGACACAGGTTTGTTAAATACTTTGATACTTATATTTAGAAAAACCATTATTGGTGTCAGTTTGGAGAAAAGTAATGGACAGGGAGTTTGGGGACATGGGTTCAAGTCTGTGCTTTGCCATTAACTAATTATACAACTTTGGCTAAGTTCATGGAATTCTGTGAATCTGTTTATTGGTAAAATGACAGGGTTGGTCAAAGACCTCTAAATAATCTTCCAGCTCTAATAGTCTGTGACACATAGTTTAAGAAAGGCACTAACCAATTACCTATGACAGTACCTATGACATTTTTGCAAATAGAGCAAATAATATTTCTTGATCAAACCTTGTATCTTCTAACTCCATTTCAAGGAGGATTATAAATATATTTGGATTTGTCATAATGTAAAACCACTGAAAGGTACCTAAGAGTGTGGCCTGAGTCCTCTAGATATACACCATAGTCCTTTGAGATCTGATGGGTCAAATCTGAGAGAAGTGGAATCCTTATTGACCCAAGTCCTCCTTGTCTTCGAGGGGTATTAATCCTGTAACAAACAACATTTACCTCTCAGAATTAAGTAAATACCATATATCAAAACAGTCAGCACTCTTTCTTTGCATATGCACACGCATGAACAGACAACATTCACATCCTTTCTCTAAAAAAAAAACACAGGCTAATATATGTTCTATTTTCTTACCTGCCCCCCCCTTAACAATATATTCATATTCTTTAAATACTAAATATGGAGACATACATCATCTTGCATTCTCAACTTTGTGTACTTGTCTGATTAATTCTTAGAAGTGGAATTGATGGATCAAAGGATACATGCATTATCTTAAGTATAACCTTATAATTGTGATCACAAGGCAATGCCTTGACAGTTAGGCAGAATACAACTGGATGATATTTTAATATTCTGACAAAAGAATGCAAAGTCCACTTGCAGCAGCAAAGGAAGTTAGATATAATCTTAGACATAACAGTCTTCAGATTTAAGTATTCCTTAACTTGAAACCAGGGTATGTGGACTGGTACCCCAATTGCAGGGCACTGACATAGCAGCTAGAAAATGGGGAAATACAGCTTTCTATGTCTACAGCCAGTTCTGACATCCAAGTAGAAATCTCTGGTTAATATGAAAACTATCCAGCTGAGAATGTATTCCCAAAAATTCCTTGGGAAAGCAACCCCAAATTATTTGGGATGATATAACTTTTTCCTTAGTGGATCTGTGTTTTAATCCTGTGATTTAGAATTACTATAGAAGTGATGAAGCAAATTAAACCCATAGTTTTAATATTTTTATATTAAGAAATAATCAGTACATATTTGTATTTATATTTTATTTGTAGTTATTTATAATGTTTAAGGGGATCTGGCATATTAGAACAACAGATTTACTTTGTGATTCCATTTTAAAATGTGTAATTTGAAATTTTATTCAGTTTATAAATAGTAAGGAAACACTTTAAAAGGACTTAAGACACACTGTATGTTTTCTTAGATTTGTAAGAATAACTTAAATTCTTGGGAAATTGTGTCTGAAAATTGAGATACTTAAAAGAAATAAAAAAATATAACTGCATTTTAAAATACTTAAGATAAATTGTAGCTCCTGAACCAATTAAAAGTTTAGTTATATATGCATATTCATGCACATATATTTATTTATATGTATGTATAACTATAAATGGAGAAAAACTTTTGAATTTACTTTAATGAACTAAATATTAAGTTTGAAAACCAATAAAATTCTGAACAGTTTATTGTGCGTAAAATTTTGTGCACAAAATTGTTGACATGATTAAAAACTCGCATCAACACACACATTTAAAATTTTGAAACATGTTGCCTAACTGCTCTCTAGAAATGCTGAACCAACTGTGTGTATGAGGGCCATTTCTTCTCACCTTTGTCATCACAGGATGAAATTTTTCAATATTTGAACTCTTGGCCAGTCGGACAGGGAAAAAATGGCATCCCTTATCATTTTAATTTGCAATTCTTTGCAATTAAGTAGGTGGAACAATGAATTAAAAATTATTTCTAAAATTAAAAAATCATTGCTTCTTGGAAAGTAATTATAAAAGAGATTTTGAATTTAACTTAATACTAGATAACTGTGTAACAGAGAAATGGTATTTTAAATATTTTTTTCCTCCAGATTAAGGTTACCCAATTTGTCATAATAAAGTAACCACTAATCAGATGTTGGAATAATGTTAATTTATTACTGTTACTATGGAGATGGTCCCAAATCTCTATTCTGGGCTTGAATCTTCAGACCTACCTTTCCTACAATTCAATGGGTGTTTGCTATGGACATTATATCTTTTGCACTGACTTCTTTCCTCTAATTTTGAAATGTCCTATAAAATCCTTAAGCATTTTTACCATAACTTCATTGAACTAGCAGCTCTCAGATAAATCTCCTGGATTGTTTGATAAATAACTATATTCCTATCATGTTAAGACTTGTCTGCCCATAATTTAAGAGTAAATCCATTCTTTCCCCTACAAATATAAGTGTAAGATACTGACCAGGCCAAATGAGTAAACTGTGAATCGACAGAGCATGCTACCACTTCAGTGTTTATAGATCTGAATTCTTCAATTCTATCACCAAAGGCGATAATTTCAGTTGGACACACAAAAGTGCTGGAAATAAAAAAAAAAATATTCAGTATTCTCAAAATATGCATATATGTGAAGTTTTAAATGACTTAGTTCTTACAAACACCTTTAGTATATTAGAATGTATATCAAGAACAATTTTATATATGAACCTTCTCAAGATGGAGTAGTCTAAGACTGTCATTTTTGATCAAACATAATTTAATAAATGTATATTACAGATTTCCCAATTATACCTCAATAAACCTTATTTTTATCATTTAATGGATCAGTGGTCAACCAATGTTCCCTTCTTCCTTATGGCAGCACTTCTCCCCATTTTATTAGCTTTTATTTAATAATACTTTATATAGTGCTTTATAGCTTTCAAAGGATCTACACACATTTTACATTATTGTACTATTTTTTTTTTACATTCCTATACTAGCTCTATGAGCTAGATGCATGTATCTTTATTTTGGAGATGAGGAAATGCTCTCCCACCCCCTCCTTCTCGATTAGGTCCTTTTCCACCTTGTGTTCCACTCCTGCTGTCAGAAGGGCATGTTTAGAGAATATTATCTTAGTGTAGTATTTTTCAAACTGTGGTAGGAACTATTTATGCCAATTTACTGAGTTCCAATTAACATTTAAAAAAAGTGAAATAGAAAATAGGAGAGCACATCATTTATAAATTATGAAACATATGTACATACAAGTGCATGTATGTGTGTTCAGGACTGATACAAAAAAATATTTAACAACCTTAACTCAAATTTGGCCTTAGCACTGGAGGTTTCTGAAAAAGACCAGGTAGGAGGGGCAACTTAGGGAGGGTCTTGGGAAAGGGGCTATTTATCATCTGGTATGGAAGTTTTTCAGTATTTTGGTATAGTATTGGCTTTACTGGTGCATACAGACAATGTTGCCCTGTATGTATGTGTAAGTGTACTGAGTGGCAATGAAAAATTCATTTCCTACTGTATGTCATGGTCAAGAAAGTTTGAAAAATGTAGATTTAGGGGACAAGTTTCTACCACTGCCCAATATAGGCTTCTCAGATGTTTCAGTTGTTCAAGGAGAGGACTGTCATATGCAAGCAGTTCTAATCTCGATTATGTCCCTGGAAACCTGGGCCATAGTATATATTCTTAATATTTTCCAAAAGGTAGGAATAGTTAGCACCTGCCTCCTTTTATCCAAGAAATGCTGTCTAGTGACACAATAGCCCAACTTTAGTGAGGACGGAGAATAAGTTCTGGCAGAAAACTGAAGGGTTATATTTGTGACCTTCATTCTTGCAGACTGGCAAATGCCCCAGAATTTTTCCTTTTCTAACCAGACCCAGTCCGGCATTCCACAGAAGCGACAGAAAGAAGGCTATCGTAGTTCCTTGACCCAGAAGACCACTGCTAACATCATGCTCTAATTAGATATGTCTTATTAATTATGGAGTTTTAACACTGGAGAAACAGCATATTTATTTGCTGTTAGACTAATTTCAAAATTCAGTTTAGTGACATATTTTGTATATGTGTTAATTTTTTGGTTTTATAACAACATGACTGTAGAAGGCCTGTAATTTTTATATATTAACATTTCAACTTCTGGTTTCTATTAGAAATTAAAGTATATTAAACATTTTAGCTAGTCAAGCCACAGTATAAGTTGATTAGAAAGAAGCAAGTTCTCACTAACTTAAAGACTGTATTACACAGATTTATGACTTGTTTTAGTTGCAATGTACTAATTTTTATGGGAATTATTCCTATTCGGATTAGAGTAGGGGTCAGCAAACTTCAGTCAACAGGCCAAATCTAGCCTATCTTATTTTTTGTAAATAAACTTTCAGTGGAACGTAAAACTCGTTTGTGTATGTATTATGTATGGCTGTTTTTGTGCTACAAAGTAAAGTTGAAATATATTCAAAAAATATAGTCAAATAGAAAAGATGTAAAAGTTTGGATAACTCTCTTTTTGGTATCTTCTTACTTTCATGGAATTTGAAAAACACAATAAAATTAAATCTTTAAAGTGACTAAAGCTACTTTGAGTCAACTTTCTATCTACAAAAGTGCTCACTGTCACAGAGTTAAAGAACCCCCCCCCAATAACCATAATTTATATTAATAGGCATTATTTGTTAAGCATATGCAGTATTTTCAGGAAAATGTTCAAATCACAGGAAAGCAACAGATGCAGCAAAGAACAAAAATAGTAAAACCAAAGTTAAATGGCATCACTAGAGGAAAGGGCTTATTAATTTTCTATTTAACGGGGATACATTAAATAGATTTGTGGCATAAGTCTTGCTATTAAATGCATTCTAAAATATTGTCATTCCATTTTCTTGTCTTAGTAGGTATAGCTTAACGAATATAATTGTGTTTTTTCTCTAATGATTAACAGTATAACAATCATGTAAACATAAGTATGAAGTATTGGGGGTCAATGGGTTATGATGCTGAAATATGTGGTAGATGTTACCTTCTTGGAAAAATTCTTCATCTCAACTTGCCTTTTGAGAACCAAGAGCTAAATAAAATATTTCTAACTATTTGATGTTCTTAATTAATGATTGATAATTGAGGTTTTACTAGCTGCTATGTATTACTTACAAATCAAGTGGGTAGAAGAAAAAAACCAGGTATTTTCCACGATAATCAGTTAACTTGAGCTCCTTAAATTCTCCATTTATCACAGCTGTTCCTTCCCAATAAGGAGCTGGCTTGGAAACTAAGAAAGAAAAATATAGGGTGTTTTAAAACACTGAGAAAGTTGGTGGGATGACAGAAAGACAGCTTTAGGAAATCACTAAATATCAAAGCTTCTAAACCTTTGGTGAAACTTACAGACTTCCCAGAATAGTGCTACTGAATTACAAAGAAAACTAATTATATGAAATGCAGTTACCAAAATATTAAAAACAAATTGGTGATGTAGTAATAGATGTACCATTTTATTAACACTTTAAAAATGCAAGATCTAGCAGTGATCTAATAACTTACCCAAAATAGTGAAGAGTATGAGTGATGTTTCAAGATAACTGCACCAACCACGTGACATGAAAATATCTATGGGTCTACTGGCAACAGGTACAAGCAAGTACTGCTGAAGCTAACATGGTTTGTTGCTGACATTTATAATGGAAGGAAATGCTCAATTTTGGTTGGAGGTTAGTGAAAAAATATATTTTTCTATTCATGCTCACAGACCCCTGGACATTTCATACCTGCACTACACCCTACTGGATACTTCACTATAGCCCTTCCAAGTTAAACAACTTATTACATGTCAAACAATTGGATGTTCCTTTCTCTCCTGACAGTCTTTAGGATGTACTAATTTAAACATTTGTTCAGTTTCTCACATACACATGGAGGACCTGCTGCCAAACTCAATGATTAGGAAATTTGCAAATACATCAGGCCAGAAGTGTAAAATCCCAGACCATGGGATTATTTTCCTAGAAGGCTTTGAAAGTGGAGACTACCTTGAACAGGTTTCAAGTGACCTGATGGAAATTTAGTTTGCGCTGCTCTCTTGTAAGGGCATTCTGTAATTCTAGCCCACATGCCTGATACAAATATACCTTGATCTTCTGTTAACACATTCAGATAGCATTTAAACTTTCAGTACTAATATATACATTGAAGTCAGTATTTGCTTCCAAGTTTGACTAAGGTTCCTAGAAAGTAAGGTTTAAGACAGCCAACATTTATTACAATTTGTATTATAGCGAACATTTATGGTCACTATGAAAATAGACACAAACTGAAGATAAATTTCTGTTAAAACATAACATGTGATTACTTTTTTTTTAAACATCTACAGCACCCGGTTTTCCTAGGTGGTCTCCCATCCAAGTACTAACCAGGCCCGACCTTGCTTAGCTTCTGAGATCAGAAGGGATTGGGTGTGTTCACAGTGGCACAATGATTAGACAATGATTACTTAAGTCAGCTTCCTACTTCATATAAATAATCTGATCTGATTAGGTAAAGGCCAGGAGGGAGAATTAGCAGAAGCGTACTAAACTATATATGCTTTATATACATTACTGAGGTTCGAATTGTAATCATCTGTTACAACGACTTGCCTTAATGACTTTTAGCATATTGGGAAAACCAAATCTGAAAAATCAATTTTGTTATAAAAATTCTGAGCTTGGAAATTTCGGGTTCTTGATTTAAGAATTGCAGTTGATGAGACTGCAAATTGGTACAGCCACTATGGAAAAGTCTGGAGGTTCCTCAAAAAATTAAAAATGGATCTACCTTTTGACCCAGCAATTGCACTTCAGGGTATTTACTCAAAGAGAACCAAAACAATAATTCGTAAAGATCTATGGATACCTATGTTCATGGCAGCACAATTTACAATAGCCAAGGATATGGAGGCAACCTAAATGTCCATCCACAGATGACTGGATAAAGAAGTTATGGTTCATATATACAATGGAATATTCAGCCACTAAAAAAAATGAAATCTTACCATTTGCAACAACATAGATGGACCTAGAAGTTATTATGCTGAGTGAAATAAATAAGACAGAGAAAGATAAATACTTTATGATTTTACTTATATGTGAAATCTAAGGAACAAAAAGAACAAACTAATCAAAAACAGACTCACAAATACAGTGGACAATTTGGTAACAGACAGAGATGAGGGGGTTGGGAGGAT